GTCTCAATCCCCCACAAAAATCATCTTCCCCCTTATTTGATTCTCCTTCCTACTCCTCCTCCTAACAAAAATGGAACCCAATACGAACGACAACTCCTTCGTCGCCAACGCCACCATATCCTTAGCCACTGGCGCATCCGTCTCATCTCAATTCAATTATTTCCAGATTACAAAGGTATTCGATTGTTGTTCTGCAATTCAATTTTCTTAAGTTCGAATTAGTATATTATTATTACACAACTATGGTCTTCGGGTGTTGTTTGATGTCTGTGTTCGCATAATTTCCATGTAGCTGAAATTGGTATAGATATTTTTTACACGATGGTTTGATCTTCGCAAGATCGTGATGTTTTTTATGATCCAGTGAGCCTAACGGTGCATCCGAGCGGTGATGATATTGTCTACTCTACTACCAAGGGCGGCTGCAGGTAAAGTTACTCAAACACAAAAATGCATTGCATACAGTCTTTCTCTAGTTATAATTGATTATAGTTCCTGTTCAAGAAAACATATGTTTAATTCATAGTCTAATTTGCATTAGGGTTGATGTGGATCTTTGAGTATTGATCGTAATAAACTTTCTAATCTCAGGCTTGCCCATGGAAACAGTTGTTTAGCAACCATCAATTTGATTGCCCCTCTACTTGAGAAACTCACCGTAATGTGTTGCTCATTTGAATGCTCCACCAGGACTTTCATCTTTGGACTACTGGGGTGGTTTGCCCCTGAAATTGTGTAAAGATTGATTTTACTCTCTAAACAAAGTGTCTATCTGTTTCAATTGTTTTGGTTTGCCATATAAGGAGAAAGATACAATCAAGACTATTAACCTGCTTCAAGAGCTCCATAGTGCCAGATATCTTACACTCAACGTGGACATTGTTAAGGTATGTTGATATTGTATTAGTAATTATTGACATGTAGTATGGAAACTGCAGGTAAATTACATTCTTCATTTACATTCTCCTAGACATCTCGTTCTATTCTCATCTTCTACAGGTAAATTACATTCTTCATTTACATTCTTATGGAATACATCATTATTCTTTTTATTTATCATAGATGTTTCTCACAAAATGCTTCTTATTATTTTTATTGGTCATGAATAGAGTCACGAATAAGTACATATGCAGTAGAGACTGATTTGAAGCCTGGTGAAGAAGGAAAAGTAATGCAACAATATTCGTTCAGAATAGATTAGCATGTTTTTCTGTCAGAATGGATTAGCAACAATATTTC